TACCACTGTACACCAGGCACATCCAACTCCCAAGAAACTGTGATCTACTCACAGTATAAAAAGACTGGCTGTGATCTACCCATTGTCATTGCCAAGAGTTGTTGAGATTTTTTTAGGGAAGGGTTGGCCAAAGTTGTTAAGCTATATATATTTTTTTTGTGGAGAGTAGACTACAAAGTTTTTGAGCTTTTGGGGGGGGCAGGGTTGGCCAAAGTTGTTGAGCTATTTTGGGGGGATCTACAAAGAACACTAAGGCAGTCAATTACAGTGGTACCTCAGGTTACATACGCTTCAGGTTACATACGCTTCAGGTTACACAATTCACTAACCCAGAAATAGTACCTCAGGTTAAGAACTTTGCTTCAGAATAAGAACAGAAATCAGGCTCCGGCGGCAGCAGGAGGCCCCATTAGCTAAAGTGGTATCTCAGGTTAAGAACAGTTTCAGGTTAAGAATGGACCTCTGGAACGAATTAAGTACTTAACCTGAGGTACCACTGTATTGTGGTTTTTATGTTGATCTTTTCTGTGAACCGCCCTGAGACCTCCAGGTATAGGGAAGTTTATAAATTCTAATAATTCTAATCATCATCATCAACTTAAAAATAATCTTTACCATGAGTGTCCACTTATTAGTGTTTGAGTCTTGTTTTAAATTATTGCTGCCTTTGTGTTTTCAATTGTGAGAGATTGGCTTCATTATTATCAAATAATGGAGGTCTTTAAGATGGACAGGAAAATCGGCTTCCAGGTGGAAAAATCAAAATTGGAGAGTGAGTTGTTAGAATCCAGTACTAAAAATTTGTCAAAAATGTATAACTTGCTGCTGAAATGGAATACACAGGATGAAACGGTTAAATCAGCAATGATTAAGTGGGCTCAGGGCATTGGTCGTAACATCATGTTTGCTGACTGGGAAAAGTTGTGGACCACTGGGATGAAATTTACGGCATGTAATGCCTTAAGAGAAAATGTTATGAAAATGATTTACAGGTGGTACATGACCCCAGTCAAGCTTGCAAAAATCTATCATTTGCCTGATAATAAGTGTTGGAAATGTAAAGAAAATGAAGGTACATTCTTTCACCTTTGGTGGACATGCCCAAAGATTAAGGCTTTCTGGGAAATGATATATAATGAATTGAAAAAGGTATTTAAATATACCTTCCCGAAGAAACCAGAGGCCTTTCTCTTGGGTATTGTCGACCAGGGGGTGTTAAAGAAGGATAAAACTTTTTTTATGTATGCTACAACAGCACCAAGAATACTCATCGCAAAGTACTGGAAGACACAAGATCTACCCACCTTGGAAGAATGGCAGATGAAGGTGATTGACTACATGGGCCTGGCAGAGATGACGAGCAGAATCCGAAACCAGGGAAGAGAAACAGCGGAAGAAGATTGGAAAAAATTTAAGGACTATTTAAAGAAATATTGTAAAGTTAATGAATGTTAAAATGATGTTGGATTAGAAAATAAGTGGTTACCAGCGGTAACGGATAAGCTAAAGAGAATAAGTAAGAACAAATTCAAGTTAAAATAAGGGAAGGATTTGCTGAATAATTGATTAGAAATTGGAATACAGAAAGGGGAGGTACGAGGAAGTCGGGGAAGTAAATTATAAGAAAATAAGATTTTGAAATTGTACTTGTTTTTTGTTTGTTGTGTCTATTGTATTCTTTTGTTTGGTTTTGGTGTTATAAAAATTATGGAAACTTTAATAAAAAAATTATTAAAAAAAATAAGAACAGTTTCAGGTTAAGAATGGACCTCCAGAACGAATTACGTTCTTAACCCGAGGTACCACTGAACATTGTTTATTGCTTTCATTTTATGGATCAATGGTCTCATTAGATAGTAAAATTCATGTTAAATTGCTGTTTTGGGGATTGTTATTAAAAGTCTGAAATGGATTAATCCATTTTCTATGGGAAAGTGCACCTTGGTTTTGGAACGCTTTTGTTTTGGAACGGAGATTAAGTTTGAGAAACAAGGTAACACTGTATGGCTATCACCCATTGGCCACAAAAGCAATGGAGGATGGATGAGCAGTGCTCAATGTTGTTGAGGATATTTCTTCTTCCTTTCGATGATCAAATTAAGAACATATGATAAGGGCTTCCGGATCAGAGATCCGTCTTTCTCAGAAAATCTATTTCTATCAGTGGTGACCCAGATGTTTTTGGGATGCAAACAAGCTGGGCATGGGGGCAAAATGCCTCTCCTGTTTCTCCTTCAGTCTAACAGCTGACAGTCAGTAGGGGTATGCATTTATTGCAAAGGCAAAGGCAAAGGGCAAATGAATGCTCCCCCGTTCATTTTCATTTTCACTTGTATTTGTGAGCATGCAAATTGCCTGAAAATTGACATGCACGATGTGCAGAGCTAGCAGTTCAACGTGTGAATATTTCATGCCTTTTGTCTGGAAAACGCCAAAGGTACAATCTGGAGAAGAGGATGGGTCTCCTCTAAAAGGAAGCTTATCGGGTGTCCTGTCCTTTTTCATCACCTCTAAAACAAGGAGAGCCAGTGTGGTGTAGTGGTTAAGAGCAGTGGACTCGTAATCTGGTGAACCGGGTTTGATTCCCTGCTCCTCCACATGCAGCTGCTGGGTGACCTTGGGCCAGTCACACTTCTTTGAAGTCTCTCAGCCCCACTCACCTCACAGAGTGTTTGTTGTGGGGGGGGGGAGGAGATTGTTAGCCGCTTTGAGACTCCTTCAGGTAGTGATAAAAGCGAGATATCAAGTCCCAAGGACCTTTTGCCCAGTCTGTCTGAAATTTTCAAGTTTGGTGCCCTGAGAGAATCGTAGAATTCTGCACATTTGGTGCCGTTTGAACAGAAAACACCAAAGTTATGGGCATTAGAATGCAACGGGGTCTCTGCTGAAACCAGTGAGCGAGCAGTTAAAGTAAAATGAAGCTGATTAAAACGAAGGCATTTTTGTTTTTCAAAAAAGTTTTGTTTTGTTTTGTTTTCCTTCACCTTTACATCACACAGTTAGTACTCACTGACATCCTGGAAATTGCATGTAGCTACTATGGTTAATATTGGGACGCGGGTGGTGCTGTGGGTTAAAGCCTCAGCGCCTAGGACTTGCCGATCGAAAGGTCGGCGGTTCAAATCCCCGCGGCGGGGTGCGCTCCCGTCGTTCTGTCCCAGTGCCTGCCAACCTAGCAGTTCGAAAGCACCTTCGGGTGCAAGTAGATAAATAGGGACGCTTACCAGCAGGAAGGTAAACGGCGTTTCCGTGTGCTGCGCTGGCTCGCCAGATGCAGCTTGTCACGCTGGCCACGTGACCCGGAAGTGTCTGCGGACAGCGCTGGCTCCCGGCCTCTAGAGTGAGATGAGTGCACAACCCTAGAGTCTGTCAAGACTGGCCCGTACGGGCAGGGGTACCTTTACCTTTACCTTACTATGGTTAATTGTGGTTGGTAGAGACTTGTCCTCTGGAATTGTCTGATCTCCTTCCAGAACAGCCTCAGGCCATCATCAAATAATTCAATATTTCTTCACAAAGAATAAGCCAAAGAACCTGGTCCATGCAATGTCTGCTAGACTCAGCAGAACATGTGTAATGACTTCGCTTGTGCCATTATGGAATGCAGAGTTTGGGAAGGGAAGCAGGAAGAATGGTTTCAGAAGGGTAAGCGGGACCAAGGAGAAAAATAGGATTGGTGACAGTTGATGTGGAAGGGAAGCAATCTTATTCAGCGCCATTTTGGTCCTTTTTTAAAAAAGAAGTTTATTTATGATTTTCATTTATAACAAATAAACATTTCAAGAAAGAAATTAAAACAATTCTCAATATCGAACTTTGACTTCCCTCCCCCTCTTTCAGTGGTTCCATGAATTTACCCTCTTTTTTACGCCCTTCTGCATATCCCAATAAACACTATCAATTCTTTCCTCATCCATTTCATACATGTTTTAGAAACTGCAAGTTTTTACAGCAATCCTGCTAATGTTTTAATTTGTTTATGATTTGTTTGTAAAGATCCAATAAGTGATTTCCATTCCTTGATAAAAAGTCTGTTGTCTTGATTTCTTTCCTTCCGGTAAGTTTCACCATTTCTGCACAGTCCATGAATTTCTGTAACCATTCTTCTTTTGTCGTGACTTCTTCTTTTTCCCGTTTTGGGGCAAATATCATTCTTGCGGCAGTGATTGCACACATAAATGAATATTATTGTTTAGGTAACTCTGATCCCATCATTCCCAAGAGAAAAGCTTCTAGGTTTGGGGTTGTTGCTTTTTTTAAAATTGCACAATTTCAGTCCTGGCTTGTGTACCATTCCATCTTTCGTCTTGCAGGCTCTTCCCTTGCCCCCAGATTGGTACTAGAGTCCATGGCAGGGGCAAATAGGAAGATGGAGGGGAAGAAGGGTAATTTCCACTTGTGGAAACAAAAGTCTGTTGTGCATAGGTAAAGGGACCCCTGACCATTAGGTCCAGTCGTGGCCAACTCTGGGGTTGAGGCGCTCATCTCCCTTTATTGGCCGAGGGAGTCGGCGTACAGCTTCCAGGTCGTGTGGCCAGCATGAATAAACCGCTTCTGGTGAACCAGAGCAGTGCACGGAAACGGCCGTTTACCCTCCCGCCGGAGCGGTACCTATTTATCTACTTGCATTTTGACATGCTTTCGAATTGCTAGGTTGGCAGCAGCAGGGACCGAGCAACGGGAGCTCACCCCGTTGCGGGGATTCGAAACACCGACTATCTGATTGGCAAGTCCTAGGCTCTGTGGTTTAGACCACAGTGCCACCTGCATCCCTTCCTAAATATTTAGTACACAGTTAAACCATTTGTCACATTTAAGTTGACTACAATGGGAGTAATTAACCATATATTTTAATTTCTCCCTTTCAGTGAAAAAGAATGGAAATGAAATTGCTTAACTTTGGCTGGTTATTGTTCTTCCAGTGAAATATTATGAGTGTCTATTCGGTTTAAGGTTGCTTTTTATTTTATTTTTAAAAAATGTGTTTGTCTTAATTTCAGCCACACTTCTTTTCTGAACTACGGTGCAACAACTACTCTAGCTATATTGAGTGATGGAGACAAATTGGATCATGCAGATGGTGTTCCTCTTAGCTCAGACCTTGGTGAGTTGCTTTCTTTCCCTGAAGTTACTCATACAGTATAATAAAGGTGTTTTCCTTCTTCTTTTTCAATATGCACATGCAAAGCACGCATATTATGTTACCGACACCATCAAAATCAGGTCAGATTTTCATGCTTTTCACTCCGATAGCATATCCATCCCTCAAAAAAATAATCAAAAATAATAATCTGAAAACTTATACAAATTTATACAATGAATTTATTAATTTCTGCTAGCTTTAAACATTTCAGCAATGAAACAATGTGTTGTGTCTAATGCACCTGGTTTCACTGCTGCAATGGGATTTTTATTTCCTCCCCCTGTGTGCCCCCCAACCCTCTGGAGCTGATTTTGAGGGTGCATGAAGCGGCTGGAGGCAACAGGAGAGGAAGAGGAAGCTCTGGGCATGCACAAGATCTGTGGTGGCAGTGGAACAGCCCCATCTCAGAGAACCCACTATTCTTTCTGTTTCTTAAAAAGTGAATTCCCAGTTGCAAACTGCAGTGGAAAGTCATTATCTCACAAGGAAATCGGTCTTGTTAAGTCTTAGTTAATTGTGGGAATTTGATCAATGAATAGATCTCATTTGCATAAATTTGCATACAGGACAAAAAGTGTTTCCGCCACCTGCTTATTTTAAACTGGCACAGGCATATGACTACATTTAAAGAGTCATGCCTGCTGTGCAAGAGAAATGGTGGAAGGGTAGAGCCTTGTAAGTTGTGACCAATGATTTTTACAGGTACACGTATAAACCTCTTTTAAAAAATCTCCCGCCTGGTTTCTTGGAACAGGCCTCTTTAATCGCTTGGAATATTTCGCCCCACTTATTCTAACTAATTAATCGATGAAATACTGCATCCCTCCTGAGAACGGTGGCAATTTCTTTCTCCCTTTCTATTCAGATTTTTGTCACAGCGGTTCCGGATGAGAATGCAACCAAGGAAGGTTATATAAAAGGGGATACGAACGCAACCGAAGATATCTATGGATTAAGCGTAACTGTGAATAAAATCATGACAGCACAGTTTGAATGTTACCAGAAAATTATGCAAACACCTTCTCAAAAGAATGAAGGTAAAAAAGAAAAAGAAACCTGAAATGTTGTTGTTTTAAAAAAAATAAACCTGAACAAACCCATATATTCTGAATGAAAGCATTGTATCTGTTGTTACTTAAAATTACATTCTGAAAAACAAAGGCAATCCCCATGCAAGCATAATATCTCATTCAGACCACTGTAATTATAGGATTCTAGAGTTGTAGCCCTTGCCAATGCAGGAAACTGACTCGTACAGTCTTCCTGGTAGGATGCCATCCAGCCTCTGCTTAAAAAGCATTCTTGATGCCTTATGTACCGTACTTTTCCGTGAATAAGACGAGTATACTGTAAAACAATGTTCAAAATTGGGGCTTGTCTTACACATGGATAGTGCGGAGGGGGGACTGGCAATTGGTTGCCAGTGGCGATTGGGTGGGCGATTGGTGCCTGCTGCAAGGGCTGCTTTGGATTGGCTGCTGCTGTGTCCATTGGGTTGGCGATTGGTGGCTGCGGCAATTGTGCATGCGCTTGCTGGCTACTGGAGGTGAGCGGGCAGACGCTCTGTAGCTTTGGCATCCCCCCCCAAAAAAAGCTCAACAACTATGGGCAACCCTCCCCAAAATTGGAGTCCCCCAAAATAGGGGGCGTCTTATACATGGGGGCATCTTATACATGGAAAAATGTGGTAATAAGGATCCCTTGCAAACAGTTCAGAGGAGGAGGGAAAGAACATGAAGCAAACAAACTCAGAGACTTGAAACCTGCAGCACACGGTTCATGGAATTACTACATATTTTTAGAAATTATCCTAATTAAATCAGGGTTTTGAAAGTGTGGAATGCAGGTCTCAGCAAATCAATGATACCTAACAGACCTTCCACCCCTAATTTTGACCAGCTGCATCAGAGGCCCTGGCAGAGCAAACCAGTTTGTCATGTAGCTTCACTCTAGCATTCTGCTTCGTATATATATTTAAATTTTCCGTTTTACAATTCAAAATACTCATTTTACATCTTTAAGATAGCAATGACTTTCCTTCTTCTCTTTCCGTGGTTCATTTCAACATGGTTCATTTTACCTATCACAAATCCCTGCATATTTTACAAAAACTATACCAACTCAGTATTCCATTATTGTACCCATCAAAACTTGTTTACGCCGTTGAATTTATCTTAATGCTGCCAGCTTTTCCAACTGTATACAGTTATTTCCCAATGTATTCAACCAACGATTTCCAATCTTCTTTAAATGCATGTTCTTCTTGTTCTCTTATTCTGTGTGTTAAGTCTGTGAATTGTGCATTTTCTGTCAACTTAAGTTGCCATTCTTCTTTAGTTGGGACGTTGCTCGTATTCCATTTTGGGGCCAGTGCTTTTTTTCTTTAAAAAATGTTTAGAGGTACTCTCATTATCCTACTCATATTGAAATACTGCCCCTCAATGAGGCCAAACCAAGATTCACAAAATGTTTAGAGGTATGTGTACCCCCGCGTACCCCCAGAAAAAAACATTGTTTGGGGCTAATAGCATTCTGCTTCTTGGTCATGCTAGTGTCAAGCTTCTGCCTTCTGGAAGAAGGTACAGGGTAATAAAGACTAGGACTAGCCGCCTGAGAAACAGTTTCTATCCAAATGCGATTTTGGTTTTAAATGCAATGTAAGGTGGCACTGTGGGTTAAACCACAGAGCCTTGGACTTGCCGATCAGAAGGTCGGTGGTTCGAATCCCCGCGACAGGGTGAGCTCCCGTTGCTCAGTCCCTGCTCCTGCCAACCTAGCAGTTCGAAAGCACGTCAAAGTGCAAGTAGATAAATAGGTACCGCTCCAGTGGGTAGGTAAATGGCGTTTCCATGCACTGCTCTGGTTCGCCAGAAGCGGCTTAGTCATGCTGGCCACATGACCTGGAAGCTGTATGCCGGCTCCCTCGGTCAATAAAGCAAGATGAGCGCCGCAACCCCAGAGTCGGTCACGACTAGACCTAATGGCCAGGGGTCCCTTTACCTTTAAGGAGTCTCAATGGGAGTAAATTGTATTTAAAAATGGGGTATCAGAGTTTTTAGGGAGCTAACCAGGTTGCGATAGCTGGGATAGCAGGCTCAGTGGCGTAGCGTGGGTTGTCAGCACCCGGGGCAAGGCAAATAATTTGCGCCCCCTAACCTGTGGATTTTAGAGAGCTGCGAGTGTGAGCGTGCCCCCCCCCAGATGTTGCGCCCGGTGCGGCCAGCCCTCCCTGCACCTCCCACGCTATGCCACTGAGCAGGCTGATTGGTTTTGAATGTCTTATGTAGATTTTTCAATTTTGTTGTTCTGTATGGAACAATGACAATAAGGATTATTGTATCGTATCGTATTGTAGGGTGACAGAGCCTCAAGAGCTCCCAATAATCTATAGATACTCAAGAGAATATGGTGGTGATGTTTGAAAGCCCAGATGAAACAGATGTAATGGTCATGGGGGAAGGTTTTTTGTTTACCTCGAAAGCAGATATGTAGCCATTGCAAATCCACTGGACTTGATCCAAAGGTCAGCTTCCTGGAACAGAAGGAGTCCTTCTGTCAAAGGAAGTCTCCTTCCGCAGGAGGACATTCTTCATGGTGACTTAGGATCAAACACTTAATAACTTCTTCTCTCGTCTTTTGCTTAGGTCCTCATTGCAATAGGACATGGGATGGCTGGTTGTGCTGGGATGATACTGCTTTGGGGAAAACAGTCGTCCAGAACTGCCCTGATTACTATCAGGACTTTGACCCCTCAGGTAAATCTCTGCCAGTGAGGAAATGTATTAAAATGTGAACGAGTCTCACCAATACCACGAGGAAGATGCTGTTTGTGGTGCTGCTCTTGTGCCTTTCTAAAAGCCACTCTTTGGCCCATTTAAGACCAGCCTTAGACCAACATTGGTTCCTTCACATTGTACCAGGCAGAGGGCCTTCTTGGTGGTGGCGCCCGTCCTGTGGAACGCCCTGCCATCAGATGTCAAGGAAATAAACAACTGCCTGACTTTTAGAAAACATCTGAAGGCAGCCCTGTTTAGGGAAGTTTTTAAAGTTTGATGTTTTATCGTGTTTTTAATATTCTGTTGGGAGCCACCAAGAGTGGCTGGGAAAACACAGCCAGATGAATGGAGTATAAATAATAAATTATTATTATTATTATTATTATTATTATTATTATTATTATTATTATTATTGTACCTAACTACAGATGGGCAAATGGGTCAATTTCAGTTTTCCCCACTTTCTCATTTTTCGAGTCTTAGGTCTGGTTCTTTACACTCCCACATCACTTTGCATTTTTAAAAAAGATTTTTTAAAGTGCCTTGCTTGGCTACCAAGCTGTCTTTAGCTTGAAAGGATTTAAGTTCTGTAGGCCGGAATATATTGTGCACTTTTTCTCTTGATGCTGAAATGCCAAACCAGGGCAGAATTGTCATTCACCCAGAGGTGAGACAACCAAGGTTAGGACAGCCAAGCGGTTTGTTCGAAGCCTCCTAAACTGCACTGGAGCCCAAGGGTGAGAGTGGGTCCCGCAAGACCATCTTGTGCCTAAATAATGTCATTTGAACTTTGTGCTTCAATTCAACAGTTATTGGACATTTATGCCGTTTAATTTGTAATGGCTGCTCCCCACATAAAATGGGGGGCGACCTTTGCGTGGACGCGCGCAGCCCCTGGATCTTGAGCGGCTCCATCAACACAGGCTTGGCTTCGCCTTCCCCCAGGTGTGATACCTGGAGGTCTCCGCCTACCTCAGTCAGTTGTCCAGTCCTGCCTGGGGGAAGCGTTGCCAAGGAGACCAGGCCAGGTAGGGGAGGGACTACCTGCCCACACAATAGAGGGAGGATCTTACCTGGGAATTTGTAATATACTATAGGGCAGTGAGTGTTTCATTTATCTGAAAAAGTGTCATGATTATAATCCACAATGCAATTATGTATGCTTACAACCCACTTTAATGCATGTTTCTCTATTTCAATGTGAGTGCACAGAACCTTTGTGCTGCGTTATTGCGTTAATGCAACCTTAAGTGATATATTCGCATTTACTTCCCAAGTCAAATAATGAGATAGATCAGGTTTATTTCTTTTTCAATTTTTCTGAAATTTTGACATCTTCTTTTATTTTTCTACATCTACTTGTTAAATACAAAAACAAGAGTAATGACTATTGTGTGTGTTTTCCCCCTCCTTAATTTTCCATAACAAGAAAAAGTTTTTAAGACCTGTGAAGAAAATGGGCAATGGTTTGTACATCCCGAAAGCAACAGAACATGGACAAACTACACGCGCTGTAGTTTAGGAGTAAATGATAAAGTACAGGTAGGCTGAAAATATTATCGGGGGATGATGGGATCCATTTCAAAAGCACATGGAACTGATGCTATTATGGCATCGTGCGCTTTTTGATATACAACCTTTGTTTTTTCACTGTATTTCAGGGAAGTTTGAAATGCATGTAGTAGTTTACCAAATGGTTACTATTGGTTTTACTCATGGGTAGGCAAACTAAGACCCGGGGGCCGGATCCGACCCAATCACCTTCTAAATCCGGCCCACGGACGGTCCAGGAATCAGTGTGTTTTTACATGAGTAGAATGTGTCCTTTTATTTAAAATGCATCTCTGGGTTATTTGTGGGGCGCAGGAATTCGTTCATTTATTTATTTTTCAAAATAAAGTCCAGCCCCCCACAAGGTCTGAGGGACAGTGGACCGGCCCCCTGCTGAAAAAGTTTGCAGAGCCCTGACTCTTTTATTTCCCCTTCCAATTGGGCAGATGGTAATGCATTCTATAGAGAGAGGGGCTCACAAATTAGTGAGGGCAGGATCATAAACAGTTGTTGTTTTTAAGGAACTGCTGCATGTTGGAGGGGAGACATTAGCAGTTTTCATGAGTTTTTATTTGATAAAGGAACATTAGAAACGTGACAGAAACTTACCGATCCTTGAAGCAGTCTCTTTTTTGTTATATTTTTACTGCGGGTGGCGGTTCACCCCAGCAGCACTGAATTATTTACCAAAATACAGTGGTACCTCGGGTTACAGACGCTTCAGGTTACAGACTCCGCTAACCCAGAAATAGTACCTCGGATTAAGAACTTTGCTTCAGGATGAGAACAGAAATCATGCTCCGGTGGTGCGGTAACAGCGGGAGGCCCCATTAGCTAAAGTGGTGCTTCAGGTTAAGAACACTTTCAAGTTAAGAATGGACCTCCAGAATGAATTAAGTTCTTAACCCGAGGTACAGTGGTACCTGTTCTTAACCTGAAACTGTTCTTAACCTGAAGCACCACTTTAGCTAATGGGGCCTCCTGCTGCCACCGCGCCGCTGGAGCACGATTTCTGTTCTCATCCTGAAGCAAAGTTCTTAACCCGAGGTACTATTTCTGGGTTAGCAGAGTCTGTAACCTGAAGCGTATGTGACCTGAAGCGTATGTGACCTGAAGCGCATGTGGACAAACGCCAGCTCCCTCTGCCTGAAAGCAAGATGAGGACTGCAACCCCATATTCCCCTTTGACTGGACTTAACTGTCCAGGGGTCCTTTACCTTTACCTTCTACCTACTGAGCTTGGTAGACCAGTGCCCCATTCACTATAATAGACCAACAGCCTAGGGGCAGTGATTATGAAAGAGTGCTGGGCCATTCTGCCCACTGGTTCCATGGAATAGGCAAGACGACAAATTCTACCAATGAGCATTTAAGAGTGAAGCTCCCCTCACCCTGCCCCGGCATCCTAATCTTCAAGCTGTTCTGTTGAATGGAGCATAGCCAACTATAAAAGGTGTTTGATGTTTGGGAAGCACATTTTGTTTAATGACAGCTTGAGACCCATGAAGTTCCTATTGGGTTACAGTGCAGTTGGTCTCATGGATTTTGCAAGGTCTATTAATATAGGCCTTGATCACCCTGTGGCTTCCTTGCAAGCTGGGGTGTGTGTGTGTGTGTGTGTGTGTGTGTGTGTGTGTGTGTGATTTAACCTGCTAAGTGCTCATGATCTCAAAGTTACATGAGAGCCTCTTGTAAAATAAAGGATGGAGAAGCAGGCATGCAGCAATCTCTGTTTAGAACCAGCCTGCACCTTTTGTGGTCCTCAGAATTGAGCATAGCTTCACATACCCTAACCCAGGGATCAGCAAACATTTTCAGCAGGGGGCCAGTCCACTGTCCTTCGGACCTTGTGGGGGGCCAGACCATATGGGGAGGGGAATGAACGAATTCCTGTGCCCCACAAATAACCCAGAGATGCATTTTAAATAAAAGCACATGTTCTACTCATGTGAAAACACGCTGATTCCTGGACCTTCCGCGGGCCGGATTTAGAAGGCGATTGGTCTGGATCTGGCTCCCGAGCCTTAGTTTGCCTACCCATGCCCTAACCCATGTTTGTGCAACCTGCAAAGTCTTTGATGGCGATTCCCTTTGTGCTTAGAAGTCCCAGCAAGCAGCAATAACCAGAGGCAGGCTCCAGTTCATCGTAACGGGTCACAAGCTACTCAGGCCAGATTTTGAAGTGAATACATTTTTTGGACTTGTGTTGATCATGGAGGCCAGCTCTGCTTCCTGGCACGAGGGGCAGAAGCAGCCATGAGCAGAACTGGGCTAGTCCTAGAATGCCTCACCAACACAGAACCTGGGAATCTCCCAAAGAAAGTTATAGGGACCGAGAAGAGATATGGGATCTCCCAGTCAATGTCCTAAGTGGTTTATGCTGAGAACCACAGCGTAGTCCCTTAACCGCTATTTGCCAGTCGGTGAATGCCAGCAAACAGAAGCTTGATACAGAGGTGATTAATTCAGAAATATATATTCCGCCATTTACCATGAGTATCAGAATCAGATTATCTCATCTGCATTTGCACCAGCTTCCATTTATTTCTCCTTCTCTCTCTCTCTTTTTTTTTTAAAAAAAAAACACTGATGGAAAAGTTTTAGTTCAGTATGTCAATCACAGTTTATTTAGGTGTCTTTCATTTGCTGTTTTAAGATCCTCTTGCGGTACACATGGATTTCATCAAAGCACTTTAGAAGCACGTTCATTTGCAGAACATTTGTAATGGGCTCAATATGAGATGGATCAAGTTTAATGCATAGCTGTACTCAATAAAGTAAACTCAAGTTATGCAACAGCAGCCGAGTATATATATATATTTTTTTTAAAAAAAAAAGATTGCAGTATGAAATAATGGCTGCTGTTCTCAAAATGCAGTGTGTCCACCCCCCACCCCCAGCTTCAAAGAAGCTACTCTGCAAATAAGCAAAGCTAAACAAAGCTAAACATGATTCCTGTTACAGCTTTCATTGGCGTGGAGGTGGGGGTCTTTGGATCTGAAGGAGCTTATCATTTAGCCCTATAGCTCGGTTTCCAATGTGCCTGACAGCGAAAAAATTAACAATATAGCAAACCCACATAATAAACTACTGGAAGCGGTAGCGGAAGAAAACAGATTAAAAAAACAAACACCTGGCAAATCAACAAGAAGCTCAGCGAAACGGAAAACTATCGCGGGCTTGAGCTGGGGCGTAGCTTGGGTTGCTGGCACCCGGGGGTGGGGCAGCGGTCAGTCCCTTCGCTGGCCAGTGTCTAATCCATGGAGTCTTAGCTCTAAAACTAGCCCCAACCTGGCAGCAGATATAAGGCAGAGAAACAGAAAGCTAGGAGTGCCGCTAGGAGTGCTCACCTTTCTGTGCTTGCGGTGAGGCGCTCTAGGTAATGCACATGGCTCTGGCAGTGCTTTCTTGCCTTGCTCTTCCTTCCTCCCTCTCGGCCCAGGGGTGGGGCGCATGCAGGCATCCCTTTGCCAGGCATGAAGAGAAGCCAGGCCCTGCTGCCGCCCAGCCTCAAAGTCCTGGCCAATGGCTCCGGCCTTGATGAGGAAGCCTGTTGTGAGGGCACCTGTTGCGCTCCCTCAGAAATTTGTGCCCCGGGTCACTGCCCACCACGGTACACCACTGGGCTTAAGGCCACTGAAATATACTCGGAGTCAAGAGTGGATTTCATGCTCTTTATTCAGCTCATAGTGGTGAGGAGGAATGGAAGTTCCCCCAGAATGTCTGCTTTAGATACATTATTTACACAATGAGCCCCACGTGATTGGCTAATTCCGGGATTCTCCTGTAGGCCAATCAGGTTGTGGATTCACTTCCACCTGGAGCTGGATTGGGTGGCTACTGTGGACCAATCAGACTGCTGCATTTTGGATCCTATTGTTCTAGGACCAATCAGACTGCTGCATTCTGAATCCTATTGTTCTAGGACCAATCAGACCGCTGCATTCTGAATCCTATTCTAGGACCAATCAGACTGCTGCATTTTGGATCCTATTCAACTCAGTATATAACAGCTACCATTCTTATTTGTGAGTAAGCAGCACAGAATTCAATGGACCTTCTGAATAGGCATGTGTAGCGGTACTCCCTGAAATGAGGAAGGCAAATGAGGTGCTTGGAGGGGGATATCTAAAGACGCGAGGCCACCACTGAACCTGCCCTGCCTTCATGCCCACCAGCCTGATGGTTCTTAATGGTGACTCAGATAGCCCAACCATGGAAGCTGGTTTTAGGACTCTAAACGTGTAGGCCAGGAATGGGAAAACTGTGTCCTCTGGTTATTGCTGGAAACCAGCCAGTCTGGTTGGGGATGATGGGAATTGTAATCCTACAACTCTTGAAGGACCACAGATTCCCTGTCCCTGGTGTAGACAGTCACAGTAGTGAGGTGAACTATTGCTAATATCCTATTTTGTACTAGTCGTGTTACTTTGGAATGCTTTGTACCTATTTAGTTCATGGGATTTGTGGTTTCATCTTCTTCTCTGTGTTTTATTGCAGACAGCTCTGAATTTGTATTATCTCACTATCATTGGTCATAGCCTTTCAATAGTTTCACTTTTGATTTCCCTTGGCATATTCGCCTATTTTAAGTAAGTATAATTCTGTTTATATTTTGCTCTTCCCTGACTTTGTATAGTTTTATTATTATGGAAACAAACACTAATAAATCTCCATGACCTATAAATCATTCCATTTCTCACATCTAAAATTATTTTGAACAACTATTGGCAATGGCGACTGCCATTTTTTAATTTTTACTGATGCATTCACATTTAACGGTAATATACATTGACCATGTTTGAACATTCATTTCTCAGCTCAGTAAGCCGAAATATGAATGAATCTCTTCCCTGCCCATATGGCTTGATTGCTCCTCCCTTCATAGCCTAAGCAACGAAACCAGGAAGCCATAGTTTCGTATTTTATCCTAGCCAGGAAACTGTGGTTATCAGTATCAAAACAAACCAGGAACTTAAACCATGGTCTGAAGTTGTTTTAATGCCATGGCTTGTGCTGAAGTGCAGTAGCCATAGTTTCCCGACTTGGATGAAACAGGAAACGGTGGTTAATTGGAAGCTTCCTAGTTTGATTGCTTGTACTACAAAGGGATGTGCACAGGCAAAATGCTTGCTCCTTTCTTGGTTTACTGTAGTCCAGCATATAACTGCATTGCTACTGTTGCAAATCTCTTGACCACCCACATTAATTTCCTCTTGTGTATGTTTCCTTTCAGGAGCCTGAGTTGCCAGAGGATCACTTTGCATAAAAATCTCTTTTTCTCTTTTGTTTTCAACTCCATCGTTACAGTCATTTCTCTCACAGGAGTTGCCAACAACCAACAGCTGGTTAAAGCTAATCCAGTAAGTGGGCAGGCCTTTGGTTGTTTTACTGTTTCATAAGTAGCAGCCTTCCAGTCTCAAAAGTCTGATAGGCAGTGCAAGTGAGTCTTTTTCCAGCAGAAGTAATTAGATGGCAAATTTGATACCTACAGATTAGATGGAGGGCAAGGTAGGGCTATTCTGCTTTACCTTTTTATTCTGTCGTTCTGCCCGGACACTGAGGTCCAGCGCCGAGGGCCTTCTGGTGGTTCCCTCACTGCGAGAAGCCAAGATACAGGGAACCAGGCAGAGGGCCTTCTCGGTAGTGGCACCCACCCTGTGGAACGCCCTCCCACCAGAGGTCAAAGAGAAAAATAACTACCAAACTTTTAGAAGACATCTAAAGGCAGCCCTGTTTAGGGAAGCTTCTAATATTTAATAGGTTATTGTATTTTAGTCTTTTGTTAGAAGCTGCACAGAGTGGCTGGGGGGACCCAGCCAGATGGACGGGGTATAAATAATAAATTATTATTATTATTATTATTATTATTATTATTATTATTATTATTATACCTGACCTCGCTCCAGCTGGGTCACTGCTGCATACCAGGATGGAGGGTAGAAATGGCCAGGTTGGTGCAGTGCTAAAGCACCAGCAGAATCAATCTGGTGCTCATGGCAGCGCGTTTCCACCATGCCAACCTCATTGCCACCTCGTCCCTGCCCCTATCCTTCCTGGGGCCTCCTGACCTTTCAAATCGTTGGAGAGCATAGATGGCTGCTTGGCAAGAGGACACAATAGGAAACGTTCCTTTTGCAAGTTTATTTTAGCTATTTTAGCACCCAAGCCTATAGCATTGACACTTGGAAGTTACAAATGTATCTATTTCAAAACATGGCAGTTCGGAGAATTAAAATCTTTTTCTTCACATTAAAATTAATGCCCCAAACAATTCTTATTTGGTTGTTTCTACTTTTCAAATAATTTGGCATCATTCCGGTGGTATTTTTTCCCCGTAGATCACATGCAAAGTGGCTCAGTTCTTCCATCTTTATTTAATGATCTGCAATTACTTCTGGATGCTCTGCGAAGGCATTTACCTGCACACGCTCATTGTGGTGGCTGTATTTGCAGAAAAGCAGCACTTACTGTGGTATTACCTTCTCGGATGGGGTATGTTATTTTCCTCCTTCTTTTTCTTCTTAAATCCCAAAGATGTGCCAATATCCGCTGGAGAGCGCAAGCATAATGGTGCTTTCATTTAAGAGATTTGCAATGCCATGGTTGAAGCAAGCCTGTCCCGAAGCACATGGTTCAGGCCACGGATTGAGACAGGTGGCAGATTGTGTGCCCAACACCCTCCCATCCACCAAACATGAGGCCCAGGGCAGTCGTAAGCATATCCGGTGCTGTAGTGCAAAGGTCCCTCCGGCGCCCCACCCCCTTTCCCACAGTTGTCGACCTTTTTTTAGGGCTGGAGGAGGCGGGCAGCGAGCGGGGAAGAGGCGGAGGCTGAACGCGGCAGCTGGCTGCTTCATGCCATGGTGGCCACGGCAGGCAGCACACAGAGCAAGCAGGCCTGTGTCGAGCGAGCGAGGGCGCGTACGTCACTCCCACTGAGCGACGGCTCGGGTTTTTTTCCCTTTTAGCCTTCTGGCACCCCACAGAATTCAGCGCCTACAGGCTAAAGGGGGGGAAACTGAGCTGACGCTTGGCGGGAGCGATGCACACACCCTCGCTCACTCAGCGCGCTCGTTCCGTGTTCCCCGGACGCTCACTTGGCGCCCTGGCACCCCGCACCACTAGCCTCTATTGGTAAGACGGCCCTGACGAGGCCACCTTCAAATGGCTGGCTGGCTGGCCTTTTGCTGCTCCTGCTATCTGCTATTTGGTTGGCCCATCTAATGCCATCTGTTCCAGCTCCTCCCACCCCCTGTCAGGGACTGGGCAGTATGCTGTCTTTCCATAGTTGCAATTATGCTCAAGGTGGCTCACAACATGACAAGATTTACACAATTACAAACATAACAGGAGCCATAAAGGGGATAGTTTAACCTCCGGTTTGCTAGCAAAACTGAATCGCTGTGTCACGAAATTATGCCTGTCTAAAAAGTTTGGAAAAGCCCTGCTCTAAGTGAATTGAGGTCACCTTAGGAGAGCCGGTACCACAACCACTCGGTGGCTGCTGCAAATTTTAGTTTAATTTTGACATCTTTTTTCCTCATATATTCCTCATTTTAAAATGGCTAGTCATAAGAAAAATAAATGTGTGGTCCATTGGAGGCCACAATAAATCAGTAAGGAACGAATCCTAAAAGCAATGTAAAAAACAAACAAACCCAGAGGAAATCCCCCAGGGGAGGGGTTTATTAAATACAAATTATATAACCACATAAGGGACTCAGTCCCAATGCTGTTGCCATTCACCTTTGAACAGTTTTGTCACTTTACATTGTAATTTGCGGGTGTGGCAGCAAAGCAGTGGAGGTTCCCTAAGGGTAAACTTGTACATAATTCCTCTGTCTGAGGAGGGATCTCTAATTCAGAGGGTTTGCATGGAGTGCACAGTGGGTGGGGGAGAATGGGAGCAGGAGTTGGAAGAGGTGCACAGCCTGGGAGTCATTTTGGACTCACAGCTCTCCATGGAGGCACAGGTTAATTCTGTGTCCAGGGCGGCTGTCTACCAGCTCCACCTGATACGCAGGCTAAGACCCTACCTGCCTGCGGACTGTCTCACCAGAGTGGTGCATGCTCTAGTTATCTCCTGCTTGGACTACTGCAATGTGCTCTACGTGGGGCTACCTTTGAAGGTGACCCAGAAACTGCAATTAATCCAGAATGTGGCAGCTAGACTGGTGACTGGGAGTGGCCGCCAGGACCACATAACACAGGTCCTGAGAGATCTGCATTGGCTCCCAGTACGTTTCCGAGCACAATTCAAAGTGTTGGTGCTGACCTTTAAAGCCCTAAATGGCCTCGGTCCTGTATACCTGAAGGAGCGTCTCCACCCCCATCGTTCAGCCTGGACACTGAGATCCAGCGCCGAGGGCCTTCTGGCGGTTCCCTCATTGCAAGAAGTGAGGTTACAGGGAAGCAGATAGAGGGCCTTCTCGGCAATGGCACCCGCCCTGTGGAACGCCCTCCCTTCAGATGTGAAGGAAATAAGCAGCTATCCTATCTTTAAAAGACATCTGAAGGCAGCCCTGTTGAGGGAAGTTTTTAATATTTAATGCTGTACTGTTTTTAACACTTGATTGGGAGCCGCCCAATGTGGCTGGGGAAACTCAGCCAGATGGGCGGAGTATAAATAATAAATTATTATTATTATGGGAGAAATATCAGTAATGGATCGGGAAGAAGTGTTTGACTGAGGAAGGGACAGTGGCAACAACTCTCTCATCCAAGACATGGCTGGGATTTCAAAGGCGGAACTGAAGTCCAGGGGGAATTCCCGAAAGGTGGCGCTTTGTCCTGGATCTTAGGCGAGTCAAACTTTCGGGGTGTCCTGGTTTTTACTTTTTTAAATATGGCAATCTGCGCACCAGCTCTGTGTTCAAAGAGAGAAAGTCGGAAGTTGGTAGCCTTTCTGCTTTGCTCTCATAGCTAAGAAATAAAACCAGAGTCAACTTAGAATGTCAATCTTCTTTTCCCCTTTGTTTTATTCTGGCGAAGAAACCTTTGCCGTGGCATTTAGGCAGCCATCTTTATCTTGGCTAAAAAAGACAGCGCACATTTAGCCTAATCAGGAAACAGCTCCTCTTTTGTGAAGAGAAAATAGTCTTCTATTGTGAAAAGGCATTCAGGGGTAATTATTCATTGTTTCTGATCTCCAAGGTGTTTATACAGGAATGAGTGTTTGTTTTCAAAGAAGTCTCGCCATTCCCATGGTAGGAGGTCGAACCAACTTCTATTTTTTCAGCAGTTCCTCTTGACCTGCTTTGTTCTCAGAGTAAAGCAAAAAAAATAAAATTATTGAGATGAAGAACCTGATGCGGAAAACAGTATTGAAGACTCTAGGCTGAAATTTCTGAAGTTAACCCAGTTAGCTTTTTGGACTTTTCTGTTTAAAGATAAATTAGACCCATGTGAACTGCCTTATCCCCGTGAGCATAAACACTGGGGAACTTGATCCACAAAAAGAGCCAAATTCAACTTGGATTTAAGATGGCTCCTGGTCCTGTCACATGAGCTCTTTCGGTGACTCAGTGGCCCGTAGCGTACTAGTTGCTTATGCCCCTCCCTCTTTGAATCTTAGTTTATTTTTATTTTTCTTATGGAGCAAAATAGCTTCCATTGCTTTTTACTCTCCCAGGGTGTTCCACCTTTTATCTGCTGTTCACACAGACAAACTAAGCAAACACCTCCTGCTCAAAACTGTATCATTGCAGCACTCTAGCAGGGAGTTGGCAGAAAGTATATCAGAAGTCCAGCCTTTAAGGGACTTAGCAGGTTTGGTTATTCTTCACTTGGGATCTGGCTTTTAGTGTGTCAGGCTCTAAGCTGTGGAACTCCCTGACTCTGGAGAGATTCAACAGGAACTATCCCCCCACCTTTCCGCTTGGGGGGGATGTTTAGATAAGCCTTTACAACAGAGCTTTCCAAACTTTTCATGTTGGCGGCACGTTTTTCACGACACAGCAATTTAATTTGACTAGCATAAAAGGTAAAGGGACCCCCTTTAGGTCCAGTCGTGACCGACTCTGGGGTTGCGGCGCTCATCTCGCTTTATTGGCCGAGGGAGCTGGTGTACAGCTTCCAGGTCAAGTGGCCAGCATGACTAAGCCGCTTCTGGCGAACCAGAGCAGCGCACAGAAATGCTGTTTACCTTCCCACCAGCGCACAGAAATGCTGTTTACCTTCCCACCAGAGCGGTATCTATTTATCTACTTGCACTTTGATGTGCTTTCGTGCTTTCGGCAGGAGCAGGGACCGAGCAACGGGAGCTCACCCCGTCACGGGGATTCGAACCGCCGACCTTCTGATCAGCAAGTCCAAGGCTCTGTGGTTTAACCCACAGCGCCACCCGCATCCCTCTTGACTATCATACCGGAGGTTAAACTAACCCCTTTCCAGCCTCGGGAGGAGCACGGGGAGTGTTCGTGCAACGCACCTTCGCAGTAGAGCTGTGATATGATTTTTAAGGTCTTAGATATGTTATAAATGTTCTTAAATGTACCAAGCAAACACGTACATAAATATATAAATCACATGTCTGAAAACTCCACAGAAAAAAGTCCTGAACAAATTGACCTCAATTATTTCTCTGCAAGGTCCAAGTGGGAAACCTCCCCATTGTCTCTTTCCTCACAAATCCTGTCTTAAGGGCACATTTAAGATATTACTAGGGTGTGAGCCTGTGACCTGGCTCAGGAACTAAGTATTTATCATTACAAAAGACTGGCCAGGCTCCCCAGACAATCCAATCAAGTGACCATTAAACAGGTAACCTGGCAGACAGGAGGTAAACAAAGCACTCAGATTTCTGCTGTAGACCGCCCTTTCTGTGATGTAGGTATGATGTATCGGGGGGGGGGCTTGAGGTACACTCCTTCTGTGATGTAGGTATGATGTTTCTGGGGGTGGTCTTGGACTCCAGGGAGGGAATTTAAATTGACTATATAAGGGCAGGCACACACTTGTTCTGAGTTCCTCCTCCTTCTGCGTGTGAGGGGAGCACCCTGTTGCAACAGATCAATAAAGATCAGGCTTACTAGCTGCTTTGCTTCTCAATATTCTCTGGTTCGCCTCTGTTATTTTCTCCTACCAATAGGGAACCTACGTAAGGACTCTCTATGGGCTCTTGGATACCCCATAAGAGAGAAAAGGGCAGATTTTTGTTTACAACAGAGCCAACACACTAATGTGTGGTTTGGAAAGTTCTGCTTTACAACATGCTTTTCCCCCTTTTAACTATTCGGTATTTATTGATATTTATTTATGTTTCTATGGATCGTTTGTTGATTTTATCCTTACGTGCTGTACTCTACCTTGCTATATATTTTTTAATTATAAGTTTGTGAGTTAATAAAAACACGGCTCCTTCGGAAGCCATTTCCAGATTAGGAGATTTAATAGCAGTGATGGCTGGGTCATCTGTGGGTTGAACACCCTCGCTCCTGCCCCAGAGCGAGAACGTGGCTTGCTCTAAGCTGGATCTTTTGGTCTTCATTCTTAAATGACTTTCTCCACCTTTAAGGCCCGAGGCTGCGAGGAATCGGATGAGGGTTCTATTATGTACCGTTACAGCCCTTCAGAAAGAGTATCAGTGTATCCTCTGAGATTATCATGCAATCCTCCTGTGATCCTTTTTCCCATGGATAAAAATGTCACCTTGGTCAAAGGAACAAACTCAAGGTCCTACCCCAGGCCAAATGCTAAAGATAATCTGAATATGATAAATGATGGTTTGGAGCCTCTGTTTTAAAGTACGTGGCACAGCATGGTGGGTAGCTTCTGAAAATCTATTTTTGTGCTTTTCGGAACCATGTGCCTTCTTTTAATTTTAAAGCTTTTAATAACTATTTAACATAGACATCCCTGACAGCTTTGACTGATTCAGGCTCAGATACACAGACGTTATAATGAGTCACTTTTAATTAGACTCCACAGGGATCAATCGGAGTTTGATTTATCGTCTAGAAGGTGTCAGTGTTAACTAAACGGTTTAATTTTAAATCATTCTTCATTTATAAACATGTCTCTCACCTTACATTGGCATTATAGATTCAGTTTACTGATTAGAAGGGAACTGCAAGTTAAGTCTAAAGGCTTCGCTAGTTCAGAATCTGAGGACTCAGCTGTACAGCTGCAAATAAAAGGTTTTAAGTGTGTTGTAAAGTGCAGTATACAAATATGACACTAGATGGCGAAAGTGAGCTATGGAAATTCAATGCATTTTTTAAAAACTTTTTTTTAAAGCATTTTCACAGAGGTTTTTTATATCTGTGTAAGGATGCTTCATTGATGCAGCAGTTTTAATTCGCCCTTTCCATCATTGCAGGGGTAGCAAAACTTGGTGCCAGCCCATTTGTAATTTGTTTTCTTTTGTTTTGGGTAAACAAAACAAAACAAATCCATAAACACTGAGGAAGAAAGTTTGTCCGTGCTTTTCTTTCATGGGCTCCACTCCAGCAAAGCACTTAAAAGTTTGCCTAACTGCATGTGAAATCTGGGAAAATTCATGGCTTAGCAATTGAATTTTCAATCTATCCTCCTGGCCATATTCAGGCTAAGATCACATTTGAGTTACCAAGTAACTTAAACAGGCTTATTCAATCAAGTGAGGTTTATTAAATAAAAGAATCGGTTGTGCCAAAACTGGAGCTTGAACAAACAACATCTTTTCATTTCCCAAACAGAAATTGCTCTGCGGTTCTCTTGAAGAATTCCAGACGAGCAACTGCGGAGCAAAAACAACAAAGAGTCCTATGACACCTTAAAGATTAACAGATTTATTGGGGGATGTGTTTTCATGGGATAGAGGCTGCTTTTGCCAGATGGTCACATATCTAGACTTCTTCCTGAATCTGATCAAGTGGGCACTAATCTACGGAATCTTGTCTCACAATAAATTTGTTTTTAGGGTGTTTCGGGACATTTTGTTCTAGGAAGTTCAAGTTTGTACATGATTTTTTTTTTTATTTTTTTTAATGTTGATTCCGCTGGCACAGAATAACATCAAGGTGAATTACGGCGTGGCATCACTTGACTCGGGCGCGTGCTCCTATCTGCCAAACAAACTTCTGTCTTGTTTTGAGGAATAATACACTATTATCCTTATGGTATGGGACGCGGGTGGCGCTGTGGGTAAAAGCCTCAGCGCCTAGGGCTTGCTGATCGAAAGGTCGGCGGTCCGAATCCCCGCGGCGGGGTGCGCTCCCGTTGCTCGGTCCCAGCGCCTGCCAACCTAGCAGTTCGAAAGCACCCCCGGGTGCAAGTAGATAAATAGGGACCGCTTACTAGCGGGAAGGTAAACGGCATTTCCGTGTGCGGCTCTGGCTCGCCAGATGCAGCTTGTCACCCTGGCCACGTGACCCGGAAGTGTCTCCGGACAGCGCTGGCCCCCAGCCTCTTGAGTGAGATGGGCGCACAACCCTAGAGTCTGTCAAGACTGACCCGTACGGGCAGGGGTACCTTTTATCCTCATGGTAAAGATCTGGGAACGGAAGAACAGGTGGTCTTCAGGTTATAGCCAGAGCCCCTAGTTGAGCTGGAATTCAAAATAGGGACAGGTAGTTTGCCCGCACAGAGTTTGGTGCTCCCTCCAGTGTTTCTATTTGTGTATGGCTTCGGAGAGTTCAGATTTGGTAGGCTCACCTTTAAATGTGAACAGAATCCTCAATCCCCAGTTGCTAAGAAGTCATTCATTTTCATGCAGAGCTAGGGTGCATAGCTGTCAACCGTCCCTTATTTGGCAGGAAACTCCCTTATCCCAGCACCATGTCCCGCTGCTGTCCCTTATTGATGATGTCCCTTAAATTTCCTGGGTTTCAAAGGAAGCAGCAGGTCTCCCTCCCTCCCTGCCGGCCAGGGAGGAGGGAGGCTCCAACTGTGTTGCTCACCCAATAAGGAGTCTAAGAACGGCTGGGGGGTGGAGCTTGCATGCCTTGTGCCGTGTTGCCTGGGGACTCGCCTTTGCTCAGCGCTTCCCAACGGAGAGGTGACGGTGGTTTTCCTTGCTGCATCCCCTTTGCCGGGTTGCTGCACTGTAGGAACCACCACTTGAGGCTTCGTTTGGCTGCTGGCTGGGCTTTCTGCCTTTGGCTCGGAGGGCTCAGAAGTTGAACCTACCTGTGCTATGAAAATCCCTTATTTTGGCTGCTGATCCCTTATTTTTCTTAGTAACAAAGATCCCATTTTCTCTTCGCAGGATTCCCGCTCATTCCGGCCTGCATCCATGCTGTAGCAAGGATCCTATATTACAATGACAAGTAAGTCAAAACGCAATTCAGCCTTCTATCTTTGGAAAAAATCTCAAGAGCGCCTCTGTAATGGTTCTAGGGGTTGCTTGTGTGTAAATCAACGCCACCCTTGGCTGGTTGCCTGAATGAACCCTTTCTGTCTGGACAGCCACACGCCCGTGGCTGTCTCAATCGCTGGCAGAATCCGTTAGTGGGAGTTTCTTGAACTTTTCCAGCATAGAAGCTCTTTGACGCCTAGTCTCCGCCTACTTTCCCTGCGCGGAAGTCTTCTGCGCAGGGAGGGTGTGGGCATCGGAGGACCCGTGCTCTCCCCACTGGTTCCCAGCGAGGAGTCTTGGAGCCACCTCGCCGATTCCCCCATCTGCCCCCCTTCTCCACTGGTGTTACACTGATTTCCTTCCCCAGAAGATGTGCTGCTTCTCTCCCTCCCGGGACGCTCTTCGGAATCCCTCTGGAGCCCTCCCTCTCCCTCTGGCTCCGATGGCAGTTCCCTGACAGCCTCTTATGAGAGAGAAGACAGATTCTTCTTCTTCCCTAATTCTGATTTCTTCTCTGCTCCCTTGCAGCTGCTGGATCAGTTCAGAGACTAATCTATTGTACATCGTCCATGGTCCTATTTGCGCTGCTCTATTGGTATGAATTTTTAAAATATTGTATTTATTTTTTATTTAAAAAAAAATCCTGGTTTTACGTCTTGGCTTTCATGAGGACCAGTATGATTTCCTACTTAAAAGGGAGTAGGCCTTAAAGCAGGGGTTGGCAGCCTGAGTCCCGGGTGCTGAATTTGTCCTTCTTCATCTGTCCCTTGGGACACATAAATCTGGCAAGATGAACCTGTTTAGATAGATGGAGACAATATTCCTTCTCCCCATAGGTTTACAGTCCAACTTCTTGCCTGAGTTTGGGGGTTTTGGTAGTGATGATCCACACGCACTGTGTGTGTGTGTGTGTGTGTGTGTGTGTTATTAGTTATTATATTTCTGCTAACTAGCTTCTCTGTAAGAAGAATACTTTCTGAAAAGTTTCAGTGTTCTGGACAGTGGATGCAAAATGGCCTGCTTTTATATTTCATCAAATAATTTATTTTGATATACACTGCAATTTTAATTGCCAAATAGTTTTTATGTTTTTAAAATAATACTTATTAGACTGCAATTCTGCAGCTGCTTTGAGGCTGGCTGTCAGCACAAGTGCAAGAGGTGAAGATCAACAGTGAAACAGAGGCACCCTTGGGAAGTGGTGGACTCTCCTTCCATGGAGGTTCTTAAGCAGAGGTTGGATGGGCATCTGTCATGGATGCTTTCGCTCAGAGTCCTGCATTTCAGGGGGTTGGACTAGATGACCCTTGGGGTCCCTTCCAGCTCTGCAGACCTATGATTTTATGATTCTATCATCCTCAGGCAGAATTATACTTATGCCACCAGAGGCCCATGTGCACCCAGAAATCTCCATCAACATAGATGTTCTGCTAGCTGTGTTCTACCAACAGCAAAATGAGCTTGTGTGTGTGTCTACTAGAGTAGCCAATAATCTTCCATTTCCCCTGAAATGCCCCCAAAATTGGCCCACAGTTATGGAAAATTCCCTACCACTACTGCCAGCATCCTGCCCTGGCTTCCATAAACTGGCAGAGCTGTGCATGCTGCCATTGTTCTGCCATGGAATTGCCCACAGTCCAATAGGATTTTCATAATGACTTATGGAGCCTCTCCCAAAACAAGTGCGTCAATACCGTATGACAAAATTATCCACGTTAACACTGTCCTTCTCCTTCCCTTGTAGGTGAATCTTTTTTTCCTCTTGAACATTGTGCGAGTGCTGATCACCAAGCTAAAGGTCACCCACCAAGCAGAATCCAATCTCTACATGAAGGCTGTCAGAGCCACCCTCATTTTAGTGCCACTTCTGGGCATAGAATTTGTACTGTTTCCCTGGCGGCCCGTGGGCCCTATCGCCGAAGAGATTTACGACTATGTGATGCATATCCTTATACACTATCAGGTATCAAATCTGCATGTGGAGTTTGCGCCTGGGGGTACAGGAATGTCAAAAAAGAAAATAAAAAAGGAGTGATGTGCTCGTGATGATCAATAACTGATCCAAATGCCCCTTGCGAGCCTTGTCAGATGCATTACAATTTTTGGTTTTGTTTAAGCACTGTTGATAGGGTGGCGCTGTGGTGTAAATCACTGAGCCTTGGGTTTGCCGATCGGAAGGTCGGCGGTTCGAATCCCCGTGATGGGGTGAGTTCCCGTTGCTCGGTACCAGCTCCTGCCAATCTCGCAGTTCGAAAGCATGTCAAAGTACAAGTAGATACTGCTCCGGCGGGAAGGTAAATGGCGTTTCCGTGCACTGCTCTGGTTTTGCCAGAAGCAGCTTAGTCATGCTGGCCACATGACCCAGAAAAACTGTCTGCAGACAAACAGACCCTCGGCCAGTAAAGCGAGATGAGCGCCGCAACCCCAGAGTTGTTCGCGACTGGACTTAACTGTCAGGGGTCCTTTACCCTTACTTTTAAGCACTGTTGATATATGCAGTATATAATGCAGGTGGCGCTGTGATCTAAACCACTGAGCCTCTTGGGCTTGCCAATCAGAAGGTGAGCAGTTCGAATCCCCATGACGGTGTGTCCCAGCTTCTGCCAACCCAAGCAGTTCGAAAGCACGCCAGTGCAAGTAGATAAATAGGTACCGCTGTGGCAGGAAGGTAAACAGTGTTTCTGTGCGCTCTGGCTTCCATCACAATGTCCCATTGCGCCAGAAGCAGTTTGGTCATACTGGCCACATGACCCGGAAAGCTGCCTATGGACCCTTGGCCTGAAAGCAAGATGAGCGCCACAACCCCACAGTCGCCTTTGACTGGACTTAACCGTCCAGGGGTCCTTTACATTTTTAACCTTTACTTTATACAAAGCTGATTCACAAGGATTGGGGAGGGGTGCAGACAATTGTTTCAATATTTTCTTCCTCTAAGAAATGTGCCCTCCACTTTTCACAGTTTTGCAATGCAAAAGAAATTGTGCAGCTGTGTTTGTATAGCTGCACCATAGCTTTGAAAGATACCGTATTTTTTGCTCTATAAGACTCACTTTTTCCCTCCTAAAAAGTAAGGGAAAATATGTGTGCATCTTATGGAGCGAATGCAGGCTGCCCAGCTATCCCAGAAGCCAGAACAGCAAGAGGGATTGCTGCTTTCGCTGCGCAGCGATGCCTCTTGCTGTTCTGGCTTCTGAGATTCAGAATATATTTTTTCTTGTTTTCCTCCTCCAAAAACTAGGTGCGTCTTGTGGCCTGGTGTGTCTTATAGAGCAAAAAATATGGTATTTCCCTCTACCCTGCATTTAGGCCCTGATGTTCCTGAAAATTAGCTCTTTTCAGCTCTTTACCAGTTGCTGCTTTGGCACCTTTTTCTTTTTTTAAAGGACCTTCTTCCTAATAACCAGATTTGTCTGTTTGATGGTGTTTCCAGCATTCACCAACCGGGTGAGCTGCAGATGTTTAGGACTACAACTCCACTCAGCCCAAGTCAGAATGAAGTTAGCAAAGACTGGTGATGGCAAGAGAAAAATATTCAGAGTGAGGGCCTCACTAGAAAAAAGAAGGGCAACCCCCCCCTTTTTTAATTAATACACTTTTATTCAAAAGTTACAATACAGCTTTTTCCACTGTCATACAATCACAGAATGATCACTCCAATCTTCAATCCCTCGTCACTGTCATGTTGGCTCACCGAATACCCTCAGTAGGAATCCAACTATCGATCTGGTTTGCTAGCCGTTTCCACTTAATATATTCCCTGCACAGACACCTCTGGTGGCATTAAAATATCCTGTTCTTCTTCAGTAAAAGAGAATGGCACCAACGTTGCAGAAAGCAGCCAAGAACCAGTGCAGAAAGCAGCCAAGAACCAGTGCAAGAAAATGTGTCCCTCTGAGTTTCTGAATCACCCTTACTTGCATCTGAATTTTATTAAGTGAATTTGTCTCATCAGATTTACAGCTTCTTGTTTTGTTCCACAGGGCTTGTTGGTGGCAACCATTTTCTGCTTTTTTAATGGCGAGGTACAGTAACTGATTTCTTTACTTTTACGAATGAAGGTTCTTTCATATCATGATACAGTTGTGTGAAATGCTCGTTGGCCCTTGCTTCCATTTTCCACCACAAAGCTGAGGAGAAACATTTCTTTTAGCCCTGTGAACTCTCTGTACATGGTTTTTTCCCATACTATTTGGTACCATTGGTCCGTGCTTACTCCTGACAGGTCTCTCCAGTGTCTGGTTATGGTGTTTCTGGCTGCTGAATGTAGGTGGGTTATGAGTTCTTTGTGGTGTAAATGGGCATTATTGTCTTGGAAGTTGTTTAGTAGGGCCAATTCTGGGGTGATTTCTAATACTTGTAACCAATAAACTGAAACTGACATGGGGACAAATAGAAGAAGACGCCTTCAGACAGGTATGGCTCCCTTTTATCACATACACAGCCGAACAAGACAATGACAAAAATCCACCAACAGCATACAAATCAATATGGCTAACCTGTTCCAAAACACCCACCCACCCCACTCACACACGAAAACAAAGGCCACCACAGCCAATCACAAACAGACAACCACACCCTGGGCCAACCCCAACCTCTCTCACCACCAAAGGAACACAAGTGAACAGCACAAGCAACTCTGACACCAAACCCTACATATATTAAGTCTACAGTGGTACCTTGGGTTAAGTACTTAATTTGTTCCAGAGGTCCGTTCTTAACCTGAAACTGTTCTTAACTTGAAGCACCTCTTTAGCTGATGGGGCCTCCTGCTGCCGCCGCACCACCGGAGCACAATTTCTGTTCTTATCCTGAAGCAAAGTTCTTAACCTGAAGCAATATTTCTGGGTTAGCGGAGTGTGTAACCTGAAGCGTATGTAACCTGAAGCGTATGTAACCCGAGGTACCACTGTAATAGAAACACCGCCACCCAACCCCCACATCTCCCCCCCCTCTTTTCCCCTTCTTCTTCCTAATGTCTCAACAAATGAAACGGATCTGTAAAGAATGGAGGAAAAAAGAGAGATAGAGACATTGCACATACTTTTTGTAAACTAAGAAAATCTTTAATAAAAATACATTTAAAAAAACACTCTGTGTACATGGTGAGCTGCTATGCACAAAAGACTCAAAATGTGGGACAGTTTCCACATAGCTGGGTTTTGATCAGCTCCACAGTGGCCATTTCTTCATGTACCTCACAAACTACCTGGTCCTCCTGTGGAAGCTAGGGTTATCGGTCTCCTTTAGTCATTCGCTACAGAAAACGGATGTTGGGATGAGATGGAAAATCCCTCTTGAAGAAGGAAATACACTTCCGTACCATTCAGTACTGGATTCACAGAGGAGTGGTAATACCATGGAGAGTCTGTTACCAATAAATGGATTCCTGGAATTATGTGGCTCGAATTCTAAGTTAATTTAAGGACGTTTGTGGAAGGAAAGTTTCCCTTCCTCTGAGACCAGCAGCTACTTACACCCCAAAAAACCCTTTCTAGTGGGGGGGGGAGTGTCAGGGGCCCATTTGGGATGGGATGCAGGGAACGGAAGGGGTGGGAAAGTGATGGGAAACTTTCCTCCCAAGGACTTCCTTAAATTATATTGAAACCCCAGTTTATATAAGCGGTTATGGAAACACACGGATATTTCTGTTTCCTCCAGTATGATGAATGTGCAGCAATGCACCGCTTCTGCCTCACCGAGAACGGGGGGGGGGGCCGATAGCAACTGAAGCAACTCCCCATAAAAAAGAGAACCCAAAAGAGGACACGGTTGTGCATACAATTTGCACATACAGTTTGCATGATGTGCAAATTTAGACATCACAATGATCATTTAAACAGAATTCCAGTACATCCCACCATAGTAATAGTAGTAGTAATAATAATAATAATAATAATAATAATAATAATAATAATAATAATAATAATTTTTATTCATACCCTGCCCTCCCCAGCCAAGAACGGGCTCAGGGCGGCTAACACCAGGTATAAAAACAATTGATTGAAATACAACTTAAAAAACAAGATTAAAATACATTAAAATGCAGTCTCATTTCAGTAGGAACTCAAATCAAAAACGTTTTGTGGGATGAAAACATCAAGTCTTCACCAAGGCTAACTATCCAGACTGGTCCTACATGGGCCAGAAAAAAGCCAGGGAAGTCCCCAAATAGGAGTTCCATCACAGAAGGAGAAAGGGGGGGAAAGTAGGGAAGACCATGAGCAAGTTGACTGGTGTGACAACAGAATCTGCTGCTCACAGCAGCTTCAGGCTCCCTCCTGCTCCTCCTTGCTATGGTTGTTTATCTTTAAACCCAACTCAGACAGGAAAACCCTTCAAACAGAGGGCGACTCTAAACAGAAGACTGACAGCCTTTCGAATAGATGGTGGCCCTCTATGAAGTGGGGTACAAGGCCACTCTAAATGGGGGTGGTATTATAATACTAGCGTAGGGTTGCCATATTTCAAAAAATAAAAACCAGGACACCCCGAAATTTGTTGGTTTCGGTTTTTTTAAAAATAAAAATGCCAAAAAAACCCCACAATTTTTCGATCAACTTGCCTAAATCCAGGATAAAGCACCACCTTTGAAATCTCAGTAATGTCTGGGGAAATCCAGACTTATGGCATTGTTCGGGAGCTGATTACTTTTTAGCATGATTCTGCGCACATAGCACAACATGATGCCTTCAATCTTTCTCCTTTTTTTAGTGGGTATTTATTTATGGTTAATGAGTTTTCCAAAAATTGCACATAAAATCCCAATACATATTATAATAAAATTTAATTTTTATTTTCAACTTCCCAACCCATTTTCCGTGATGTTATTCTTATACCCTTTTTGCTGCACCTCATCTTCCCTCTTTTTTCATCATTATCATGACACAATAATCTCACATTCTTTCTGTTGCTCATCGTTCGAAGCCTGTTGTGGGTTCTTCATATTGTAATATTCTCCCACACACCCCCCCCCAAAAAAACCCAGCCATCATTAAATTCTCTTATTTTAGCTTTGCTGATTCAACATAGCCCATTACTTTCCTTATCCATTCTTATTTAGTGGGAACTTCTTCATCTTTCCATTTCCGAGCATAAGGTATCCTAGCTGCTATCGCGTCCAATATTTGACAAAGCAGATTCAGTAACCTTCCACTCCCGATGTCAACAGTTCTTTGAGGGGATGGGTTCTGCATACCTTTTGCCAAGGCTGCTGGTAAACTCCATTTCCTGTTGCACAGGTGGCCTCCCATATTGTATAAACGGAAACTATTGTAAAACAGAACATCCTTCCATAGTCCTTCTACAAACAAACGCAGGCCGCGTGTGCCTTCATCTGTTTTATCCCATGTATTTTTAAACAAGGTAGGAAAGCAGACTGAGCTCTATTCAGGAAGCGGCGTTTCCATCAACGCCACAAAAATGTGAATCACGTTTGCTGATTGAAAACTCTTGCCAGATTATGCAGATGCATAACATTTAGGATGCTACGGTGCTTTAAACCATGCTGAACATCTCACGTTGGCCAACGTGTTTTGGGGATATTTCTTGTTTCCATTTGTACAGAGGTCACCAGGCAGTCTCCCACCCAGGGGTCACCAGGTCCAGGCCTACTTAATTTCAGAAACTAAACCAGAGGGTTTCAACCTTTTCGAGTCCACGGCTCCCTTGATCAACAGCATTCTTTGTGTGGCTCCCTTTGAGTCAGTTCATGAGGAAGGATTCCACCATTGTGTCTGTTGCTGTTCACACTGAGGAGGAGGAATAAATAAAAAAATAGTCCAGTAGCACCTTAGAGACCAATTTAAGGACCTACTGGACAATTTTTTATTTATTTCGACTGCCTCAGACCAACATGGTTACCTACCTGAATTGAGGAGGAGGGAGAGCCAGTCCATGGAATCAGTGCCTCCGGTCCTTGAGCCCCTGTGTAATTCAAATATATAACCTATTCGAAATTAGGAGCATAAGGTGAAGACAGTGCCAGATTATCAAATAAGCAGAGTAGGCACCAGCCTATGGGTCCTATGAGAGCCGATCAAAATAATATTGATTTGACCTTGAAATTGGTTTATTAAAATTATTATTTTGGTTTTTTTAAAAAACAAAACACCAACATATTAGGAGATAATTTGCTGGGGGAGGGAGCTCCACGGGGTTTAATCCGGCATTGGGCGAGGAAGACAAATGTGTGCCATTTTCTATGTTTCGATTTCTGGGAATGGAGTTGAGAGGTGACCTAACCTGGGGAGAAAACAGCAAAGACCTGATGAAGAGAGCACAGCAGAGGTTATATTTTCTGAGAATCCTCCGGAAAAATAATCTCTCAAAGGACTGTTAATGGCATTTTACCATTGTACTGTGGAGAGTGTATTAACTTATGGTCTGTGTGTGTGGTTTGGGAGCTGCACGATCAGGAAAAAAACAATGTTGTCCAGGGTTGTAAAGACTGCAGAGAGAATAACTGGGTGCACTCTTCCCACCTTGGATCAAATCTATGCTTCCAGGTGCCATAAGAAAGCTGCAGAGATAGCGCAGGATAGTGCACATCCCGGAAATGATCTCTTTCAGCTTCTGCTTTCTGGAAGAAGGTACAGGGTTATAAAGACTAGGACTAGCCGCCTGAGAAACAGTTTCTATTCAAACGCGATTTTGGTTTTAAATGCAGTGTAAGGTAGTCTCTATGGAGTATATTGTATTTAATTATGGGGTATCAGAGTTATTAGAGGGCTAACCAGGCTGGGATAGCTGGCTTGTTGGTTTCTGAATATCTGGTGTAGATTTTTAATTTCGTTGTTCTGTATGAGACAATGACAATAAAGATTATCGTATCATATCGTATTTCTGATATGGCACCTCAGGCAGCCATCTTTGTCAACCTGTTCTCTGTCCTCTTCTTCCCTGAAATAGGTCCAGTCTGTTCTGAGGAGACACTGGAAGCAACACAGGATCCAGCTTGGGCACAGCTTTTCTCACTCAGACGCCCTTCGCTCGGCTTCCTACACAGCCTCCTCGATTGTCGATGGTCAAAGCTTCAGCTACAATCGTGAGTGCTTCCTACACAACCCGCCTTCCTACACAGCCTCTACGATGGTCGATAGTCAAAGCTACAATAGCGAGTGCAACTGGGAACATACGAACGGGAAAAGCATTTACGACACGGAAAACGTTGTTTTTAAAGCCGAAAAGCTATACGGCTGATTAGCAAGGACTCTTTATTCCCACCCTCACGATATTTTGAGTGGATGACTCCAGGAGCCAACAAGACAGTCCCACCCACCCTCCCACCCACACTTTTTTGGTCAGTCTTTGAACTCGGTTACTCTTGAAGGATGCGACGGATTTTAATTTCTTTCTCACATGTGGTCATGCCTTGGCATATCTCAGCATGTGAGTGCTTGCTCTTTGTTTGTACACTGGAGCTGGTCTTGCCCACCAACTGAAGTTTCATGCTCTGACCTCTGGGATGCCCAACCTTCGGAGAAATACTGGCTGAAGTTTTCATGGGGATCAATCAAGCCCTAGATCTACATATGTGTTTTGTACATATAGATATGTGTCGGGATAGATAGATGTTGCCTCTTCAGCTTCTCCCATGTAGACAAAGTGGGCAATTCTTTTGTATGACGGGAACCAAGGGAAGTTTCGGTTTATTTTCAGCGGTTTTGTATCATGACTGGGGGTTGTCCAAGAGGTCGTTTTGTATGCTCAGAAGAACTTGTAAATGCTGTATTTATCATGTCGTTTCGTCTTAAGTGCAGCCAACAGAGCAACCTAATTAAGTATTGGAAAGGATGCGATGATTGTAAAGTATTCTACGTGTTGACTGTGCAACATTTAACTCTGACAAAGATAGATATAAATCTGCAGTATAGACAATGGCTCTGATTTGATTGGCATTAATCAGTGACTAACCTGCTCCATTGGCTTCAATGGGACATGCTACCCTTACTTGAGATTGAGGCCCATGGAATTAGGTGTGCACAGCTCCTGGGTATAGATGAACAGGATTGGGCCATTAGTCACAACTTGCTTTCTCCGACCCAATGATTTGGCTTGTATTGATCACTGTTTTGAATGGAAGGAGTCGCAAAGCCATGGGGAATCTTTGGGCCTGAATGCTATGCTATGCTTCTTCATCTTTTCATTCAGCTCCTCTAAGGAATTTCTCCATGGAGCTTCCCTTTCCTTTTTTCCAGAAGGATCTGTTTTTGAATGTGCACAAAGCGAAGCGAATGCTTGGACCGTAGTTCCGTGTGCTCCTTGGTGCACATTGTCGAATGGCATACCTGAAGTTTGCACTAGAGACAGTAGCAGGTTTGTATTTCGTAAGAAGAAGAAAATCAGGCACTTAAAACTCACATCCTGTGATGCACAATGCAATGCAATGCAACGTAACGCAACACAATACAACGAATCGTTTCCAGCTGGTTTGTCTCCTGGGTCCTAGATGTTTCAGCCAGAGCAGATTTAGATGTATTGCAGCTGCTCACTCTTCTTGTGGTACAGAAACCCGACTGACTATATACTGATGGGAAAGGCAGTGATCGGAGAATGAGTTGGCCATAGCTAAGTTGGCTCTTCAGAACGCGATAGTGGAGATGGGTACAGGAGCCCTGACCCATCCATGAGTTGACTCAGGTATCATCTTTTCTTATGGACCCAGGAGTCTGCATTGGCAGTAGCACTGACAGTAATTTGGTATGGAAGGCATAGGACAGTGATTAGGGCTAGGCAATATCTGTTTTTCAACATCATAGTATATTGCCAGTCAAACGTTGCGATAAACCAAGCTATCACAATGTTTGAAATAAGGATGGAACTACCTGTATTTTTCACTCTATAGGACGCACTTTTTCCCCTCCAAAAATGAAGGGGAAATGTGTGTGTGTCCTATGGAGCGAATGCAGGCTCCTTGGCTTCAGCGATAGCAACATGAAGCCTCCAAAGCGCTCTGGAGGCTTCGCGTTGCTTTCGCTGAAGCCTGGAGAGCGAGAGGGATCTGTGCGCACCGACCCCTCTCGCTCTCCAGGCTTCAGGAATAGCCGCCTGAAGCCTTCGGAGCGCAGCGCGAATTCCCGCCGCGCTCCGCAGGCTTCAGGTTCCTTTTGCTGAAGCCAGGAGAGCAAGACTCTCCTGGCTTCAGCAGAGAGGGAGAGCTGCGTAGCGCCCCTTCAGCCAAGCGGGAGGAGAAATGGAAGAGGTTCTGTTTCTCCTGCCGCTTCGTTGAAGGGCCACTGAGCAGAGAGGGGGAGAATTTTTTTCCCTTGTTCTCCCCCTCTAAAACAAGGTGCGTCCTATGGTCGGGAGTGTCCTATAGAGCGAAAAATACAGTGTATAGAGGTGAACCATAGAGCTGGGCAGTATTTGGTTTTCAGCTTCGTGATACATTACCCGCTAAACATTGTGATAAACTGATCTATCGCAATGTTTGAAACGAAGACGGAGCTGTTTTTTAAACGTGGTGATGTATCACCAGCGAAACGTCGCGATGTACTGATATATCACGATGTCTAGGTATGCAGAGGCATTGACCGGCCTCACGGTTCTCCCTACATTGTGATTTTTTGCGTAGCGTGTACACATCATGATTTGCAATGTATTGCCAGGTCAAAAACTATGAAGACTATCTCGTGATATGGACTTTGAACTGGACTTCAAATTGTTATATTGCCCAGCCCTAATGGGGATGAGCAGGGATAGTTTTCTAGAAAAAGAGGTGCTGGGAAGCCTCCCTTGTTCTCTTATAATGGCAATGGCACCCACCTGAGAGGTGTCGGAATCGAGTTCCGGTGAGTTCCAGCTGGAAAAAAAGCCCTGGGGATGAGGAACCTGTGGCCCCTCAGACGTTGCTGGACTGCAACTCCTCTCATTCCATGTATACCCCCTAAAGTACTTAAATCCAGCAGAAGTCAGTGGGGTGCAATGTAGCTTAACTGCATGCAGGAAAGCCTTCTGGGAGACTTAGCCTCTTGAGGTCTGCAAGTAAGTGCGATATTCTTGTTTCTCACGCCTTTCCCAAACTTTATTCTGCTGTCTCCACTTACACTGAGAAGGGCTTTACTCTGTGGATAATACCACTGGTGCATTTTTAAATGATGAGGTATTTTTATTTTTATTTTAAATCGTGTATATTGACTAGCAGGAAAAAGCTACGAGAGCACGTGGACCTAGGTGAATTAAATTCCCCAAAAGACTTAGGAACAAAGAAAATGGGCATGCGGGGGGGGGGGCAGTTTCTTTAAAATAAATAAATAATATGCACCGTATTTAATGTGGAGAAAAAATGAGAACTGTCTAGTCACTGCTACTGGTGATGGAACAGTCTCATACCAATGTGGTTCTGACTTCTTATGAAAGGACTGGCAAGGAGGGAAATGAAGCCCCTTCGTCTTTCTCGGAACAACATCTGCCTATAAATGCCACGGTGCAATGTGAAGTGTTCAATTTCCTCATTTTTTTTCAAGGCTGCACATTAATTGTCATTTAACAGGCTTCAGTAGGCAGCTAATTTTGTGAGCCGTTACAATGCTTTTGAGGCTTGAAAAAGCTTTGAATGGTTGTCGTCACGATTGTATAATCATATTCAGATGCTTTAGGGAAAGCTCGGCGAATTCTTGTTATTTTGTTATTTAGGATGGCATTTGACGGAGTAATGAAATGTATTGAAGCAGCCTTGTGGTGTTACAAAATTAAAGTCGTTGGGTTCTTGGAGCCATTCCTGTCATTTGAAAAAGCATGGATTTATTCAAGGTTGTGTGTTGCCTGTGATTCCATGGCAGTAAAGTCTACAGCAGCCTTTCCCAACCTGTGGGTCCCCAGATGTTGTTGGACTACAACTCCCATCACCCCTAGCCAGCAAGGCTAGAGCCCAGGGATGATGGGAGTTGTAGTCCAACAACATCTGGGGACCCACAGCTTGAGAACCTCTGGTCTACAGGATTCATGTTCCTAAGAATATCTTCTTTTTAGAGTTATAAAAAAAATGGTTGAAAATGTGTGTTCTGGTCTCAGAATCCAGGGGTCGGAGGGAAATCTTCCACAGAAAGATCCTTCCGGTCCCTTTGGGTACCTCCTCCTCTCCTTGCCTAAATTATGCAAATATATTCTGTTTTATATAGGTCACAGCATTCAGATTTTGGGTGTAAAGGAGTTTTTAAATCTAATTAGCTGACAGTGCTGTACTTACAGTGTGTCATCTGGAAACACATCTGGGCCTAACGTTGCACAATAAACATGTTTTAATTCTATTAGACTCATCTTTCTTGGAGAGATGACACACAGATTTGCCCTACCCACGGTGTCACTGAAGGACACATGTTTATTTTACAATTTTCTTTTCTGTGGAGCTTGCTCATGGGTGTGGTACCTCAGGGTCCATCCCTTCCTTTTCAAAAGCCATACAAGGAGAGCTTTGAAATGTCATTTTGTCTGTAGATTTTAATCTAGCAGGCTGCTGCGTTGGCCCAAATCTGAGGAAAAGCCAGAATCGTTTCATTGCATCCAAGGCCAAGCTGTGGGTCTGGGGACATGCTGTGATTTTCTTTTGTAAGCAGGGCGAGAAGGCTCTGCATATGCAGTGTGGAATCGGGAATATTTCTTCCAAAGGAGACAATGGAAAGCCCTGGAAACACAGAACTTTGGATTGTGGCCATGCTTGCCATGATACACCTCAACAACAGCCATTCCTTTCTTTATTTCTAAGTAACTCCACCTCTGCTCCCATGCCCCCTAAAAAAGAATTCTAAATTTCTTTGAGACCCACATATCATTTCCGTACACTGGCCTGGATGTTAGGTCATTGTAACTTGAGTGCTACGACGCTATCAGCTGAGGCCTTTATCAAACCTGCGTGGACATTACGTGATCCAGCCATCACTTGTGGATTCTCAGGTGACTACAGTCGTACCTTGGAAGTCGAATGGAATCTGTTCCGGAAGTCCGTTCGACTTCCAAAACATTCAGAAACCAAAGCATGGCTTCTGGTTGGCTGCAGGAAGCTCCTGCAGCCAATCAGAAGCCACGGAAGCCCCGTCGGACGTTCGGGTTCCAAAAGAACATTCGCAAACCGGAACAATCACTTCCGGGTTCTTCGGCGTTCGGGAGCCAAAACGCCTGAGTTCCAGGATGTTCGGGATCCAAGGTACGACTGTATATGAGCTCTCTGTATGGAAATATATTGCAACTGAGTAGATATTGGGTGATAAGAAAGTTATCTCTGTGGCGATTAATCAGTGATAGTTCATTGAGACATGCAGATTGTTGTTTGATGTTCCAGCCAAGGGACAACCATGCCTGTATGAGCCAGCCCTTAGTGGCTTGAACCCAGGGTTATTCCTCACCTGCAGGGCATTCTTGCATGGATGGTGTATCCTCTTATAAATGTGGTTAGTAAACTAGCATCTTGGAATAATGGCACTTTTTGAAGGTGGTTCAACATTCTTTGACAGTCATCATTTTAGTAACCTAAGAAGTCAAGAAAGGGATTTTTTATTTTATTTTAAAGTATTTCGCCTTACAAATGGTATCTAATAACAACGAATGTCTAAATTTTAGTGTTACTAGATATTTCTTCAAATGAATGAATATCCGTTTTATTTTTTTTCCTTCTGCTGCTGACGCGTTCAGTTAATAAAATGTCGGAAACTACTATTTGCGTGTGATCCTTAAAAGAATCTTAGTTACTCTCCTTCTCCACCAAGGTTAACACACACTTCAATCTCTCCCTGCCCTTCAGGGACTTTCATTGCATTTCTGGACTCTTGGAGTTTGCACATTTTTTCCAATGCATGGTCAAACAGCAACATCCATGACTGAATCACATTAATGTGATTTACAAGGGCAGGGTTAGCCCCAGATTTAGGATGGAGGACCCGCATCA